GTGTGTGTGGTGTGTGTGTGTGTGTTGGTGTGTGTGTGTGTGTTGGTGCGTGTGTGTGTTGGTGTGTGTTGGTGTGTGTGTGTGTGTGTTTGTGTGTTTGTGTGTTTGTGTGATTGTGCATTTGTGTGTGTCTGTGTGCTTGTATGTATGTGTGTGTGTGTTTGTGTGTTTGTGTGATTGTGCATTTGTGTGTGTTTGTGTGCTTGTATGTATGTGTGTGTGTGTTTGTGTGTTTCTGTCTTTTCTGTCTTTGTGTCTTTATGTCTTATGTCTGTGTGTGATTGTGTGTGTGTGTGTGTTTGTGTCTGTGTGCGTGTGTGTGGTGTGTGTGTGTGTGTTTGTGTGTGTTTGTGTGTTTGTGTGTTTGCTTGTTTGTTTGTTTGTTCGTTGGCTTGTTTGTGCATGTGTGTGTTAGTTAGTTAGTTAGTTAGTTAGTTAGTTAGTTAGTTAGTTGGTTAGTTGGTTAGTTAGCTAGCTAGCTAGCTAGCTAGCTAGCTTGTTTGTTTGTTTGTTTGTTTGTGTTTGTGTTTGTTTGTTGGCTTGTTTGTTTCTTTGCTTGGTTGTTTGCTGGCTTGCTTACTTGCTTGGTTGTTTGTTTGTTTGCTTGCTTGTTCGTTTGTTTATTTGTTGGCTTGTTTGTGTGAGTGTTTGTGTGCTTGTGGTTGTGTGTTTGTGTGCTTGTGTTTTGTGTGTTTGTGTGTTTGTGTGTTTGTGTGTTTGTGTGTTTTTGTGTGTGCGTGTGTGTGTTTGCATGTGTGTGTGTGTTTGTGTGATTGTATGTTTGTATGCTTGTATGTTTGTGTGTTTGCGTGTTTGTGTGTTTGTGCTTGTGTGTTTGAGTGCTTGGGTGTATGGGTGTCTGTGTGTGCGTTTCTGTCGTTGTGTCTTTGTCTCTTTGTGCCTCTGCATCTTTGTGTCTTTGTGCCGTTCTGTCATTGTGTGTTTGTGTTTTGTGTGTGTGTGTGTGTGCGTTTGTGTGTTGGTGGATTGTGTGTTTGTGTGTGTGTCTGTCTGTGTTTCTGTGTTCCTGTTTGTTTGTCTGCTTGTGTGTGTGTGTATATATATATATATCTGTGTGTGTGTGTTTTGTCGCTGTGACTTTGTGGTTTTGAGTGTTTGCTTGTTTGTGCGTGTGTTATGTTGTTTTGTTTGCTTGTTGGTTTGCTTGCTTGTTTGCTTGTTGGTTTGCGTGCTTGTGTGTTTGTTTGGTTTGTTTTCTTTGGTTTTGCTTGGTTTTGGTTGGTTTTGACGGGTTTTGACTGGCTTTTGTTTGGTTTTGTTTGCTTTTGCTTGGAATTGTTTGGTTTGGCTTGGCCTGGCTTGGTTTGGTTTTGTTTGGTGTTGTTTCGTTTTATTCTGTTCGTTTGTTTGCTTGTTTGTTTGGTTGGTTGCTTGCTTGGTTGGCTGGTTGCTTGCTTACTTGCTTGCTTGGCTGGTTGGTTGCTTGCTCGCTTGTTTGCTTGCTCGTTTGCTCGTTTACTTGCTTTGTTTGTTTGGTTGTTTGCTTGTGTGTTGGTTTGTTTGCTTGCTTGCTTGTTTGTTTGCTTGCTCGCTTGCTTGGTTGTTTGTTTGTTTGCTTGCTTGCTTGCATGTATGTGTGCTGGTGAGTTTGTTTGTTTGTTATTTTGTTGGTTTGTTTGTTGGTTTGTTGGTTTGTTGGTTTGTTGACTTGTTGACTTGTTGGTTTGTTGGGCTGTCGGTTTGTTGGTTTGTTGTTTGTTTGTTTGTTTGTTTTTTGCTTGCTTGTTTGCTTGCTTGCTTGCTTGTTTGTGTGTTTGTGTGCTTGTGTGCTTGAGTGTTTATGTGTTTGTGTGCTTGTTTGTTTATTTGTTTGTTTGCTTGCTTGCTTGCTTGTCTGTTTGTGTGTTTGTGTGCTTGTGTGCTTGTGTGCTTGTGTGTTTGTGCGCTTGTTTGTTTTTTTGTCTGTTTGTTTGTTTGCTTATTTGTTTGTTTGTTTGTTGGTGTGGTTGTGTGTGTGTGTGTGTTTGTTTGTTTGTTTGTTTGCTTGTTTGCTTGTTTGCTTGTTTGCTTGTTTGCTTGTTTGCCTGTTTGCTTGTTTGCTTGTTTGCTTGCTTGTTTGTTTGATTGTTTGCTTGTTTGCTTGTTTGTTTGTTTGATTGATTGTTTGTTTGTTTGTTGTGTGTGTGCTTGTGCTTGATTGCGTGTGTGTGTGTGTGTGTGTGTTTGTGTGTGTGTGTTTGTGTGTGTGTGTGTTTGTGTGTGTGTTTGTGTGTGTGTCT